GCGCGTTCATCCTCGGTTTTTCTCCTTGTTCTTGATCTTCGATCCCCGCGCGACGCCTCCGCCGCGTGTAGTCGTTGCCCCGTCCCCTCCGTCGTTCTGTTTCTCTCCTTTTCCCGTGGACCGCGAGCCCGCCGCTCCTTCGTCCACCTTTGTCTCCCGTCGTCCCCATCCGACGTCTGCTTAAAGGAACGCGCGCGAGCGTCGCGCGGGTGTCCCGAGGGCGAGACGAGCCAGACACCGGCGGGGAACGGAAAAAATGGAGAAAAAGGTCCGGCGTCCTTCGGGCCGACGCTCAAAGCGATCGCCGCCGCCGCTGTGACAACTGTGCGACCCCTAAACCTCTCGCCGAGGTCGGGCACCCGGAGACAAACCGCAATACCTCGTCCACCCCCGTTCGATCAATTCTCGCAACCGACGATAGAACACCGGCCGACCGCGATAGGCTTGAATCGACTGCCAACAGTGTTGGCCGTTTTAACCCCTTTCGTCCCATCGCCGCCGTTGGACTGGTCGTTAGGGGTGCGCGTGCTACTGCGGCAACGGGAACTGATAATCATCGGGGCGCAGGGAGTAGTTGAATCGGTGTTTCCTTTCGCGATGCAGGGATTCGAGATTTCTCTGACAGAATCCGAGCCCATTCCCGCGTACATTGGGACGTACGCCGGTTTAACCCCTTGCGTTGACAACTGGCTGGCTGGATTAGCCTTAATATGACAGGAAATCGATGGACGGCTTTGCGTGACGCATATGCTCGTGGAGATCTTGCTGATTCTTTTTGCGCGCCGGGTATTGGGAAGTGTTTCGTTTTTGTTCTTCGCTATCCTTTTATGATCACTCCTTGGGATAGTTTGACCGTTCGGTTTATGAATTACGCGTTGCATAAATTACTGAGTAACGGGGATTTTTCATTGCGAAGTTTCCGCGTACACACGCGATGCCCATAACAGTTGTCGCGATGGCTCATAACGTGAAAAGAATGTATTGCTACGATCGCCGTAAAACGTCGTCGACAAATCATTTTAAATACTCGGTAATACCATTCGATGTATTCGGATCATTCCTCTTTACACGCGTTCGCGTGGAATTTATGATCGAACAAATCACCCGGTTAACATAACTCAACTCGAGTATCCCGTATACGGGTTGAAGAATCGAGCTCGGACTATCTATCTTCCGGCTGTTGTCAAGGAACTACCGTTTACTTTAATTATTCCGAGTCTAAATAAAGACAAGCATCGATCAACTACGGACTCTTACAAGTTCAAAGAACCGGACGGCGTAATCGATTAATCAAGCCTGTCGCGGCGATCACGCGCGAGGGAACGAAGACAAGAAGGGCGGTACAAAGGAAAAAAAAGGAGACAAAGAAAACCGATAAAAGGGGGATATCGCGGCTAACGAAAGGCGTCGAGGACGGCGGTTTTTCCATCGTTACAAAGATAACCACGGAGTCGGGTCGGAACCGCGGCAAACGTGCCGCGCGTATCGTAATATCTGCTACGTGCACGCGCTTTAACATTCGCGGAACAGACTAGCATAACCGTGGAAAAGACTGTCGAGCTCCCGTGAGTACCATCGTCGCGACTAGAATGTGGACCACCTTGCGCGAACTTTGATCTCTCTCGTTCACCCTTCGAATCTTGACATTTTCACTACTATGTCGCGCGAATTCGGTTGACAAGATTTTGTATAGATTCAAACATTAATATTTCTCGCGACATATTGAACAAATCAAGTTTTCATCCATCCACGAGATGCAAGAAGAACAAGGGAACAATCACAGTGAAAAATCTCGACTTTCCAGTTTCTGTTTCGTTAATTATTACGATCGCATGAGACTTTGATGAGTGCTGATTCAACAGTCAGTATGTTAATAAGCTAACTCCAGATTAAGTAATTCAATACACTGTTCTATATTTCGTTCCGTAAAACCACAGCGCTCCGGGCAAAACACCAATCGTACCGCCATGGTAATCATCAGTCTTCCGCTGCCCCGACAAGATGGCCGCGCAGCCCGCACACGGTACACACAAAGACGCCGCATGAAAATTGCGGAATACGTCGGGAGCCCAACAGAAAATATTTTAATATATCCGGCATACGAATATCGGGCGGTTCAAAAAGGAATTTAATACTCGAGGAAATTTATTCTAGCGACGACTCGGGTTCGTGGGAATTTCCGCCGGACACCGCCACAGATTACCGCGCTGTCATCAGCGATGATCCGTTGGCTCGCGGACGAAAAATTCCGCGAGCGGGAAACAACAGGAATATCGAGATCTTCGAGGAACATTTATCTAAACGAGAAACTCGTTTTCATTGCTCGATGCCATGTTCCCGACAGTTTCGACATAACTCGCGGCAAACCGGAACGCATTCCGCGTACAGTCGCTCCGCCACAAACGCGGCGTGCACGGCGGACAGCGAGCGATTAATTCACCATTAATTTTTCCGGAGTCCGCTCGTTAATACCTCGCTCCTTCGAAAGCGCGCGTGTAACCGCGGGCCGCGTGTTTTCCCGATAATCGAACGACCCGTAGGTAATTTACGGTTTCTACCCGGTGTACACCGGGGCAAGTTATGCTATTCAATCCGAGTGGAGTGTCAATTTGCACTTCGGACTGGTTCGCCGTGAATTTCAAAGCAATTGCCCGGAGGTGCTGCAAGAGACTCGAGAGTTTAACGTCGCGCTGTAAATACACGCTGAGGAAGGCGGGCGGGAGGGACGACGGGCGGTGGTCGGAGAAAGAAGGAATTATCGAGCCGCAGGCGGCGAACTGAGACGCGTTTTTAAGCGAAATATAAATCGCGTAATAATAAAAAAAAGTCGGAAGGGGAACGGCGAGTAACGCTTCGCAGCTCATGCCGCGTAATTATTCCGATCCCGAGACACCGGAGGCACCAGATGCCGCGTCGTGGATAATGATACGATCCGATGACAGAATTAATCGTATTGGCCACGGTTCCGCGAAGTATATTTCGGCGTGATTGCCCGCGACTCGCGTGCACGTCAAACGTGATTCATTTATCGTCTACGGTGACGGGTGAACGCCAGAAACGCGTTTCAAACCCTGTCACGAGGGAACAACCGATGAATCGGCGGCGATCGTCGCATTAAAAAATCCTTTTTCGAACGGCACCCTTGTTTGAACAGTATTCGAAATACTTTTGGGACGAGGTCTCGCGAAAATCGTGCTCCGCGCGGAAAAAGTATAATTGAAGATCGATAAACGGTGCAGGAGCCTGCGATACCGATCGCGGATGCGTTGAACAGTTCCGCCGGCTGCCAGAGATGGAGCTTGCAGTACCAACTGTGCTGTGGATCAACGCGTGGATCGTGGATCCTGTCGCTGACGAGAAGGAATACATTAATTTTCACATTTTTATGGTACTCCTGGGTGACTTTATTTTACAAAGAATACAAAGCTGTGAAAATTCTACTGATACAAAGACGGTGTCCTATTATCTCCCTAGTTTCCCATCAATTTATTAATTCACTCGTTCACTCCGCGGATAAAGGAGGAGGACAGTAACACTGACCCTCTTTCTCCGCGGCGTATCTCGCAGCGCATTGCTTCAGCAATACCTTGAAAGGATGCGGCGTGATATCCTCGGAAGCCGTCAGCAGCTCGTCGGTAAGCTTCAGGTCCTCTTCCCGCCGTTTCGCCTCTTCCCGGTACCATTTCTCCGTTCCCTCGGCTTCCCGGCGACGGCAGTCGTCCGCGCACTTCCTTTGCTCCTCGAGATCCCGTTTGTATCGTAGTTTCCGATCCTTATCCTCTTGTCTGGCGTAAATAGTCAACTTTGCCTCTGTCTCGATAGCCTTTTCCATCTCCTCCCTCTCCAACCTGCGTTTCTCTTCTTCGTCTCTTTCCCTCTGACGCTGCAGTTCCATTTGTTCGTCGCGACCCCGAAGAACATCCTGCAGAACTCTCTTCCTAGCTTCCTTGAACTGCTTCACCGCGAGGTCTCGCCTGGCATTAGCTTCTTTCGCTGATTCCTCGATGATGCGATCCACGGCGACGTTCCTCATGGCTTCTTCCTTCCTGACGTCTTCCAGGTACTGCAAATAGGCTAATAGCTCCCTGCGCAGGGCAACGCTGGACTCCTTAATCTTGCTCTTCTCCTTAGCCAGCTCTGCTGCTGCCAAGGTGTCCCTCAAACGGTCCATTTCAGCCTCTCTGCGAGCCTTTTCGGCTAGTCGTCTCTTCGCGCCTAACACTTGCTCCTGGAGTTCCTTCTTCAACGCATCCCTTTTCCTACGCTCGTTCTCCAGCCTCTCCAGTTCCTCCTTGCGCATCTCCTCCTTCAGACAGGCCACGTACTCCCTGTCCTCTTCCTGAATTTGCTTCTTCTGTTCCTCCAGGGCCAGTTTGCCCGCTATCTGCTTCTCTAGAGTCATGACTACTTCTCGGCCACCGAGACAACGAGTCTTAGCTTCCTCTACCTCCCTCTCCTTCTTCGCTTCCACGTCTCTCAGCATCAGGTTGTGCCACAATTTCTCTATCTCCTCGTTCTCTCGCCTTTTAGCCTCGTTCTCCGCCATTTGAATCAGGTTACTCTCTTTCACCTCGACCGTGTACTTCTTAGCCATCTGCTCCCGGATCTCGGGACACCGGGCCAGGTACTGTTGCATCCTTTTCGCAGCCACCAGCGCCAGACGCTGCTCCTCCTGCTGCTTCCTCAGCTGCTCCGTCCGCTCCCGCATTTCGTCCATCCTCGCGTCATCGCCGTGCTGGGCCTGATCGACCACCTCGCGGGTCAGGCTCATCTGCTCGCGCAGCAGAACCTCGCGAAGCTTCTGCCTTCGCTCGTTCACTGTATCCTCGTGGGCTGCTAGTCCTGGGGAATCCATCAGCAATAGCTTTAAATACTTCAAAGAATACTTCATCGTTTCCTTGCTCAACCTACGTATCGTTAATCCTAAAATCTGATTATATTCCACCTGCCATTCGAACTATTTCGATGGTAATGGAAAGCCGAAGCAATTCAGTCGTCTATGAACCTTCAGCTACCAACCGATCGTTGCATCTTTCAAATACCCTGATCCATGAACTCAAGAAACACCGAGAAACGCAATCGAACAGGCGATCGAACCAACGAGAACATCCTAAACCGGCGATGCCGAACCAGTTTGCACCTAGTCCATCCCCGAACCCCCGTCACGCTTACTCCCGGCCGGATACCTTGCCGAACGTGGCTCCAGACTTTCTTTTTGTTGATCCTTCTGTCCGTCTGCTCCTCGAAGTCCATGGTCTTGATCAGGTGCTCGTGCTCCCTCCTCCTCTCCGCCTCGTGCTGCTCGATCGCGGACCTGTCCCGGTACGGCAGGATAACGCAGTCAGCGCGCTCTCGCAATCGGTAGCCTATCGCGCCCTTCGGGCTGCCGATCACCGCCCGCGGGTGCCTCCTCGGGATCAAAGGGCCGCATCGCACCTTCGGCAACGGCGTCACGTTCATCTCGAGAGCAAATCGTCGACGACCGGCGGCGAATGGCTTGAAACAAGAGGTTCGCTCGCTCGCCAGCGGCGGGCCGAGCCGTGTTTACGGTTACTATGACGATAGTCCGCCCTATTGAATTAATATTTGAGGGTGGGGTTGATTTGCAGCGGCGGTCTAGTTACGACCCGGTTAGACTGGGTACACTTGGACGTCGCTCAATGCCCCAGAACGTGACTGGCAGCACGCGACTCCGTTGAAACGCGGCTCACCGTGTCTGAAAGGAGTCTGGCAAGGAGCGGCGCGAGTTATTGGACTGCGGGAGACGCTTGTGTATGGCCAGGCTGAGGGCGCAATTCAATATTTTGAAAAGGTGCCGGCACCGAGGAGTCGCGGGACCGTGGCTCGCTAATTGAGCGGACGCGGGACCATCATACAAACACGGATTTTCCTACGTTATTTTTGCAAACACTCCGTGGGAACTTGTTTCGCGGGTCGAGAGGTACTGGGGGCCATAGAGTACATAGACTAACGAGTACTGGTGTAGAGAAATAATTGCTTTCTCGAGCGCGAGCTTGTGTAAAACAAGAAATATGCCGAATTGATGGAACTAAATGCTTTGAAAGAATTTTTCAATTCTTAACTATTAGACGTCGAGTTGTTAGCGTCATACCCGATAATCTGGAAACTGAATCTTACAACGATGAAATAAATATTACTCTCGAATTACAATCCTTCTCTCGACTTTCGTTTGAAAAATGCACCTAATGTATCCGAACGTTTCCTCCGGAAGAGACATCAGCGTCGAAATAAAATTGATACGCGGAGGAAAGAGCGTCGGGGAACGATTTGCGTGAGTCAGGAGATCGCGAGCGACCTGTCTCGCATAATTTGAAACTCGACGCCGCGTTGCAATCGCTCCCGCTTCCGGCTCCGCGAAATTTCCTGCCTAAATCGGGGATATTGTGTGCTTGATTACTTCGATATAGATATTGCGTTACAGCCCGTGGCAGCCCGGGGGGGCGTGTAATCGAACTACGCCGAGTTCTCGTAAACTCGATGAACTCGAAAGACGAGCCACCTCGTCGAAGTCCCGAAGTTCCGACGCCGCGCAATGTTAGCACTTCGCCGTCGAACTACCGCGTTGCTCTTCTCCTCTGATCTAACGATTTTACGGCCGGTACTGCTGGATAATTACTTTCTTGCTCGCGACGAGGCGAGCCCTGAGCTGTTCGACAATTTCGGCTCCCCTTGCACCACCAGCCCGCTCGAACGTCCCAATCCCCCGAACGCTACGAGAAAACATCGACGATTGCAGGCGGATCGACAGATCGCAACGGCGGCCCGGTTTCTGGGAGTTATATTCTAATCGACTCTATGGTCTAATTAATGATTACAATCTTCAGTATTTTAGAAATCAAACAGGGATACCGTGCGATTTTTCTACAGAATCGAGCCTTCGTTCCATGATACTTGTTACTACATCTTTACAGCAGCTTCTGAATCTGAGAATTTCATAAAAATCGATTGCAATGCCAGCTTGGAAGATAATTTGTTTAAACGTACTGTTTAACGCATGCAAATACTTCCACCTTTTCACTTTCTTCCCTCAATACACAAACGTCGCAGTGTTTACTGCGATATTCATTGAACTCCTCTGAATTCACTCGACCCAGGGAAAAACTCTCGCCGCTCTTCGATCACGCTGCTCTACGTCAGCTATTTTTACAAGCGACTCGAACGTCGAATCGATTCTTTTCCATTTCCCCGGGAATCTTTACGCGATTCTTCTTCCAGCGATATCCAGTTGCAAGGAGGACGGATTTTATCGGTCACCCGTTTCCGTGCGATCGATCGCCGGCTCGTTCGTCAATTATTACACGAGTTTATCGAAAATTCCGATGGATGGAGTTTCGGTTTTTCCAGTTTCTCGATGGTAAAGATTGGAAGCGAAGCTATGATCATGGGGCTAGCAGCGAGTGGCAGGTTCATACTAACCTGGCGCAGGGGACACCATGATCAACGAGGTGGTTCCCCCGGGCGAGAGGCTACGCGCTGAAGCCCGTGAATACTCGTAACGGGTATTTGTGCGTTGAATTTTTGATAGTGTGGAACCGTTGCAGGCCGTGGGTTCCACGCATTAATTCCTCAATGAAAATCCCTTCGTACATCTCTCATCATTCTGCCGATTCTCCATCGTCGACGATCCTCTTCTGTTTCGCTAACAGAGACGTGGCCTTCGTTGAACGCGACGTGCAACGCGTGTGTCGCATTCATTCGAACCGAAGTCCCTTTTCACATTTTCCATCGCTTTCATTCAATAAATAACGTTATTGCTTTATTCGATAAACGGTAACAAAGGATTACTCTCGTTACCGTTAATCATCGTTAACCTCTTATCCCATTTCGTTTTCGCTAAGAGGAAATATATACCTCCCTCGCGAATCTATACGTTCTACTCTACAATGTTCAGTTCCGACAAGTATTTCCCCCAGCCTGGAGTCAAAGAATCATTTATATCCATACTTACCAAATCGAGCTTCAAATCCACGGTACGAGTTCGCCTTAACTCCAAGCTACCGCGTCAATATCGAAAACGTAACGAGCTTCGTAACCGACTTCTCGAAGGGCCAGCAAAGAGCCTAGCAAAGCGTCAAGGATAACCTACATACTCGGCCGGACCCCGAGCACCCTCGAGCGCGTCTGTAAAGGCTCTCCAGCCGGCGAAGGAAGCGAAATCAAAGGAAATCAATCGGGCCTCGAGACTTCCTTCAACCATCCACGTCGGACAAGTAGCTCGAGCGAATTCGCGGGGATGCGTGACCCATTTCAACGGCGTCGGAGGCTCTCTCGCGACGGAAAACCGTGCTGCCGCCAGGCCGTGCGGAGCGGCGTCTAAGGGAAATGCGAGGCATCGAGAGAATGGGGCGTTTTGTCGGTGAAAAGACCCGGGGATGAGGTTTTTCGCGGGCCGCGGCGTGAAACCTCGTAAGAGGGACTAGTGCCGCGGGATTCGCCTAGTTCTGCCGTCAGAGTAGTCGCCAGGAATCCTCTCTTGAGACATTGACAGTTCTTATTGCGCAGCTTAACTTACCCTCCGAGCCGTTCCTCGGACAACGGTGAGAACTCGCGAGGCTCGAGGGTGACGAACGCGGGCCGGGACTCTGAGACGTTCTCACAATGGTCTGTCACTCGATCATCGGGGAATCCCCGGTGAAATGGCTCGGAAACGGCCGTATCGAGGCATTACCGTCGACTGAAACGCCGATCGGTTGCCCGCCCGCCGACTGTAAGTCCCCGGGATTACAGTCCGGGAACCGCCGACCGGATCGGATCGATGCAGCGATGAAGCTCGACGAGGCTCGACGAGATCTCACCGGTGATTTTTGGTAAAGGGTCGCGGGGATCGGTCGCCATCCGCTTTCGTCGTCGAACGCAGGGTTTTACCATAGAAACATGTCTTTCTCTTTATTGTACATTCTTGCGTGCGCCTAGGTCTCGCAATCTCGAACGCTCGCGAGGGTTAACATCTGTATACGAGATTCGAGCGAGTTTCGAATTTCTTGGATTTCATTAAAATTTGCCCGCACCGTCGAGTGGCTCGACGATTTTCTTCGTTTCGCACCGCGTGGACCATCGGCGGCTCTGCGTTGGCGCGTTCGTTGGAATTCGGGAGCGCAGAAATTATGGGGAGAAGAGAATTACGATATGCGCTATAAAATATAACATGTATTTCTATTTGAAGAATATATAATTAACCCTTTCGTTACGGTGATGCTTGTTCATCGTTTGGGAGACTTGAATCGCCAGTCTGCGCTTTGTAGTAAATCGAGTCCGACGTCTTTCGGTTTGCCGAGGGGGCGCTGAAGTTATTCGGATCCTTGGTTGAATTGCTTCGAATTAGTATGCTAAGAATTGTAAGGATACGCTTGGTATAATTTCGTTTAAAGGTCAAACTCGATCAGCCTTGTCGCTCGAAGCTTTTGCGGTGAGTTTTAGGGCACGAGAAGCTTTCAGCAACGAGTCGCTGCAGTCACTAGATTAAATTTTCATCGTTAGAAGCTTTGTATTCCGGAAAGGACAAACGTCTCGGTACATTTACCTGAAATATTTCACTTCGCGGAACATTCGGACATCGAAATCGTTACAAATGCATAGAATTCGCAGTTCAACGATCGCCCTTGGCAACGGAAGGGTTACAGGGTCATACGCAGCGTATCTTTTTTAACAAAGTGTGAAAACGAGTAGAAAGTCAGCCAACATGACTGGCCGACGGTCCACGCGGCACTCGACGCGTTAACGAACTCGAACGACGCGGCGTGTGCGTTCGACGCAGATTTAATCGGTGAGTGGTACTTAGACTGCGAATTTTATGCATCTACACCGCACAGGATTTTCGATAATTCGTCACGTTTTAACGACCTTTTCATTTCGCTTAGAGATCAACAGAATTTTTCATAGAATGTACATATCCCCTTTTCGACTACAATTTCTCTAAGTCAACGCGCAAACGCTTCTATCCGCGCGAAGATTCACGGGGCGATCGCACATCTTTGTGCGCAGTCTGATCATCAATACAGAATTTGACACGAATGTACGTCCTTGTAGATCAATTTAGTAAGATCGAACAAACATCGATTCTCCTCGCGCATTGTCTCGTCAGATAAAAAATAACATTATAAATGCAGAAAATTTCGCAGTCCGGTGAAGTCGTCTCTTAACAGTTCAAAGACGGACTTCGCTGTTCCATCGATCGATTCACAATTATTTCGTTCAACGGTAATTTCCAGACACTGTAGAGACGGGATCGTCTGGTCCATCACAGCGGAGCAAACCGGACGATGCTGGAAGCTGACGGCGACTCGAAGATCACGTGACAAGCGACGGAAGCATGGTACCTAGGCCGGAGAGTCCAGGTGGGGACGTTTGTGAAGCATGCGAATAATACGAAGCGAGTAGAAAAGAGAGTTACAGGTAAACAGAATACTCCAACGTGTACAGTGAAAAATGATTCTATAATAATGTACAAACTAAGCAATCATGAACGTGTGAAAGTGGAGCGAAGCAAGGCACGAATCTACCTCGATGAACCTACATACTCTCGTTGCGGTCCTCGGCGGTTCGACGAATTTCTACGACGCCGATCGACGAATAAAATGGAGAATGGAACCGGCGTGCGCTAGACTACAATCGACGCGACACTTAATCGCCCAATAATGTCTCCTTCCATTTCACGTGCCAACGACAACTTTCACAAAACGTGGCAGTTCCCTCGAGAAATCATTACTGGGCGAATAGAAACAGCAGAAACGAATCTCTCTCCCGATTCACGATTCCAGAAATTATAGACACCTCTCGATTCGATAATCAAGTTACGTCTATTCTGCAATGGAAATCACGTTGCTCGAGTATCCACTATCATAGTTTCATTCAACAAGTCTCAAGCTAACCGTTCCAAGTGTTTAACACTTGCAGTCGAGCAATAAGAACGAAAGGCGAAGTAGTAAACAAGCAAATTAGTTTCCGCTGTTCCCAGGTGTAGTCTAGCACTCGCGTGCAAGGTAAGGCGATTCTCTTAAAACAACGAATGAGTCCTCGAACGAATCGAATATACTCCACGGTTACTCGATACCCGATCACTGAATACTTATCACTGGCATCTGTCCGAGCAGGCTCGACCGAGAATCACGGAAGATGAAATCCGCGCCGAACGGATCGAGGTGGGTGCTTGGTAATGCCGTTTTCATTCCCTGTCTAATCGTGTAGGTACTATCCCGCTCGAGAATCAACGTCGACAGTTAAAATTGTAACGCGGAACGGAACGCGAGCGGGCCGGATTGGCCGCGGTTAAGTGTCTTGGAGGGTTCGGTTCCGGCCGGTGTTCTCGTTTGCCCGGCGTTTAAGCGAATGTGACACGGTATCGTCGTACACGGCGTCCGCGGCTGGACCGTTTAAGGCGTCGAGCTGGTCGCGGTGGGCGCGGGTATGCCCGTCGACGGTGTGCCGGCAGCGGGCATCGCCGGGGGCGCGTACGGGCTGCCGCAGAGCTGGTCGGCGATGCGTCCACCCTCGCGGAGGCCGCTCAGGAATGCCCCGTGCACCGTGGCTGGGTAATTTCTTATGGTGTGCTCGCCTGAAAACACAGAAATCGGGTCTGGTCCATCGTCGATAGAAACGTTCGGGAATTGTGAGCCGCCATTACGAGTAATTGAGAATTGCCGTCGCGAGAAACCGTGAGCTGTGGATATCCGGAGTTGTAAATCGCGATTGTCCCAAACGGTGAATTGTGATCACGGGGAACTGTGAGTTGCAGTTGCCCGAAGTTGTAAATTACGATTGTCCCGGATTGTGAACCGTGATTACTCGAAGTTGTAAATTACGAGTGTTCCGGATTGTGAACCGCGATTACGCGAAGTTGTAAATCGCAGTTAGCCGAAGTTGTAAATCGCAGTTATCCGAAATTCGAGAATATGTATTCTACGTAAAAAGCCGAGAAGATAGAATGGTATTGAAGCGCAAACATTGTAACCGTAGATTGATCGATTCATTTATAAAGGGAGAAAGGTGTAGAAGGTCGTTACAGAATTGTTGTAAAATGTCACGTGAATGAGTGTATTCGTAAATATTCTGTGCGACTTCAACCGATTTCATTCAGCAGACGTTGAGGGACTGGTCCATTACAGCCCGGCGAAGCAACCGTTCGAAAATCAGTTCGCAGATTCGAGTTTAATCAAGAATTTAGAGACAACAAGGGGCGAAATGAAAGACGAGCGAACGGAACATAGCACATCGAAGTCGGTAGAGTGTACCGCAATAAGTGTTTCATAGAACGATTCAATAAACCCATTACGAGACTGTTTGAATCCCTGGTTTGTGAAGCGTCTGGGTGAAGCGAAGTCGCGAAGCGGTGAACGAGAGGGAAAGAGAGAGGAGATAGAAAAGCGCATTCTCTGGAAACGAAACTGCTCGGCGCGGCTATAAAACTTGCAGCCCGGTTCCCCGGCAAAAGAGGGAACCAGTTGACTTTGTTTCCCCGCAGGAAAAGAGGCGGGGAAATAAGTGGCCGCTCGAAATAACGCGGAGTCTAAATATTTACCTGCGAAAAAGACTCTCGGCTGCGGGGGTGGGGCGCCAGGGCTGGGCGGCGGTGCGACCGGAGCTGCCAAGAGATCGTAATCGCTGCCGGAACTGCCGACCGCGACGAAACTGTAGGATCCTCGTGCCCAGGGATCCGCCCTCCATCTCGTCACCACGCTCTCGCGTGGCTGTGGTACCACTTGATTCCCGAAAATACCCTGGAAAATCGTGCGGCGATCAGAACCCGACGTATCCATAATAAACGAACCCCTCGTCATGCACCGTAACGACGTCCGCGAGAAATTAAAACAAATTCCGACGTGCACTCGAATGTTTACAACATGCAGAAAAAGGTTTGATCGATAAAGATTCCTTCGGAAGCGATCTCCCATGATTTCCATGGGATTCGGCGGTACAATAGACGTGTATCCGCAATAAACGTAACAGAACGGTTCCGTTGGTAATAAGAAAATAAGGAGCACAAAAGTAATTTCATAGAATTATCCGCATTTCCATAATCGTAACATCTTAAGTAATTGTTCCTTCGAAACTGGAACTATCCGAGGCAGCAATTACGTATATTATGGATACAGACCTATCGCCCTATTAAATTTTATTGAAATCGGAAGGAGTTACCTTTGAAGCGGTTCTCGTGAGAGTCTTTTATAGACGGAACCTGATACCACAGACTCTATGTTCATAATGAAACGGAGAGTATCTGCCGATATCGAGATTAATAATCGATCGGATGGGGAAAGAGGTCCGACGGTTAAGGGATGAAAATAAGATTTCACGGTCGCAAGAATGGATTCTCGTGTTACCTTCAGAACGGCGATGCAGCGTCCGACGATCACGTCGTCGCTGACGTTTTCCATTACGCAGGCCGCCTCGCCGGCCACCAACGCGAGCAGCACGGGCGCCTTGTACAAGTTCCAGAACAAGAAAAGCTCGCCGCGCGACGCGGTCGTGCTTCCCACGTGGCCGAACAAATTGGCGGTCGGGTCCCAGAAGATCCGCTCGAAGCACAGCACCACCTGACGTGACGGATTTAGCGGCGTTACCTTCCGACCCCTGAATCTCGGCGCTGGGCCGAGGGCTTAACGATTACTCTCCTAGGAGACAACGATTCGACGCGCACCCGGGGACGAGGAACCCTCTCCGCTCTAACGACGGGAAACTCCCGGCGATCGATCGTTTAAAAGCCGGTATTTTCTTGCTTTTCCGCCATGAACACTTCGTGGTCTCTTTGGGAACGAACGTCCGAGAAAATGGACCGCGGTTCCTGACCTGTTCGCCGGCGCTGACGAATGTACCCGTGCTTTCAATTTACCATTATCCACGATTAACTTTTTTCCTTGCTTACACCGTTTATCTTGACTAGTTGTTCATTTACATTGAGATCGTTGCTACTTTAGAAACAGCAAATTGAACATCGAATTATTCATTTTTGATACAATGTTTAGGAAATATATTCCCAAGAAACCAACAGGTTATGGGCTGATCTCATTGAACCTCACAGTGTTACCAATCGAACAACCAAGGTCCGAAACATTCGAACGTTACTGGAAGCAAGAGAAGAAGTTCCCCGAAAGTTCCCAATTACGAAAAAAAGATCCACCGATCCCCGAAGGACCGAACTTCCGAAAGAGACCATCCCGCTCGATCCTCGTTAATCCGAGGCGCATTCTCCGCGGTCGCATCGGTGTGCAGCGGATCCCGCGCGCGCATCGGAAGGGACAAACGGGCGCGCGCGTCCTCGAAGACAGATCTCCCGGAATCGGCGGCGAGCGGTTGCGCGCCGGGGCGTCCCCCCGATTCATCCAAATTACCCTCAATTTATTCGGTTTCACGGGCTATCGGGCGAAAAATCCTGACAGCCGTAGCCCATTTCCCCGGCGCGATGAACCTTTAATTTCGCATGCGAAAGTACGGCCCGGGCCGGGGCGAGGAACGCTCGTAAAAGCGGCTCGGCCCCGTCCGGCCGCGGCGGAACCGTCCGGCCCGTTCCTCCGTTCCGC